TCATATATATATATATATGAGAAAAAGTCTTCAAAGCTGATTTTATAGTATCCAAAATGACCATGTGATGATTAGTGAGGACAAGCAACATAGTAGGTCAAACAACACACACACAAAATCTATTTCTGCTCGTCTCTTACAAAGGTGGAAAAAACCCCAAAACCCAGATGTGCAACAGTCAACTGCACTAATGGCATCAAGTTAACATCAGCCAAACTATGATCAATAACTAGGGTACTAAAGTGCACAAATAAGTCCTAAAATGCTGTAGCAGATATCTATATTTCATCTGTAGAAACAAAAACAAAAAACACATTCAGGAAGTAGAACATAAAGAGAAATTCTGGGCCTCATCCCAAAATATGTAATAAAGGAGGTCCTACTCATCCAGCATAGTTCCCTGTAAGTAAGATTTGTAGGACCAGCTCTTCAGAACTAGAGGAAGAAAACTGCAGTAAGCATGCATATATCTCTTTCTTCAATACAGGATTTTCAAGAACATATAAAGACACCATAAAAACATCTCAAGTTCTAGATTGAAATTTAGGAATAAAATAATTTGTAAAAAGTATTGCTGCAACCTGCTATCTCATCTAACGTGCTTGCTCTCATGTCCAACATGACCGTCCCATTAAGAATACAGCTTCGCAGTTCAAAGAGACTGTGCAGAGACAGAGTTGCTACATAAGGCTTGCTCCATCGATCACCTCCATCTTCAACATCCTCTTCAAATTTCAGCCACCTGAAACACAAACACATATTTGTACTTCTCCTGGAAGACAACACAATTTGGCAAGTAATCCCATTGTTCCCTGTGGCTCCATATAACATGGAGCAGAAAATCCTGTCAGCTCCTACCAGCTTTCATTTTTTAAGACAACCCAACTGACTGACAGTCACAGTATTTTATCAGGCTTTTCAACTGCACTCAACTCTTTCAGGTTTTGCCCATTTTGTTTCTTTTGGTTTGAACAATACCTGTCTACTCACAAGTTCCTGTGAACAGTGTGGGCTTGTGACTTGTTACTTGATTTGCACATCTCAATTTCTTTGGTATTTTAGGAAAACTGTCTGAAACAACACTATATACCATGTCTAAGCCTCTGAGGGTGCTATATCAGACATTTAAGAGCTAGGTAATAGCAATATGTGTAACTATCTATTGATACTCTTTATGACTCACAGGCATTATATAAACTGAACTTCTGCAAAAGTTAGCATGCAATATGGTAACAAGAAGTACTGAATGCAGAAGAATATATTACAAGCCTCTACAACAATGTAGAAGGGAGCAACTTGACCAACAGGGGCCAAAAATAATTGTGGCTGTAATGTTCATGCATACAATCTGCAAAAGATTAATCAAATATTACCCAAGAAGAATGTATGGAAACACCCAATTTTCTTCATGTTTGAGTGAAAAAAATTGACATTAATATATCAGCAGTAATACAGCAAAGAGATTTCTGAGATTGCAGATACTGTGCTCCATGACTGAACACCTGTATTTATACCTAAACAGAGTTGAACCTTTCACAATGCTTGGTATGATCAGTTTCATGAAAGTCAACAAAGAACCAGTAAAAATGAGGGTTTCTTGGGAAACCACACTGATCCTTCCAGAGTTGGAAAACAAGAACGATAGCTTTGTTTTGCTAAGCACAAATTGAGTGAACAACTCGTAAGTTCATGAAAATTCTAACCTAGACCTGGTTTGCAGTTCTTTAAATAAAAATCACTAAAAGATATGCTTTGAAACAATCTACTTCTAGCATACCTAGCCGTTTCTTTCCATTCATATTCTTCTCCATCCCTGAAGCAAAGTTCATCCATTTCAGTGAAGAGATCATGGGGAATGTGTTCATCATCATCTTCAGTACCCAAGATAAACTGCACTCGTTGGGATGGTGTGTCTTGAAGGAAAGGAGAAACCGAACGGTTAAATGAATTCATACTTCTATTATGCATGAAACACCACGTAACAGTTAAATCTCCTGCTCTCAGTTAGAAATATATAGTGTGAGAGTCTGTTCAAGAGGGAAGAGGAACAAAATAAACATGGACATTTCTTTAAAAGGAGGCCCTTTTAAAATTTTTCATTGTTCCTGAAAACAAAACATCTGGAAAATTATGTTTGTGTAACACAAGTACTTTTACATCTTCTATAGATTAACAATATGAAAATAAACATCAACAGCAAAATTGGTTAAAAGGGAACAATTAATATACTGAAGGGCTAGAAACCTTGTTTTCACTTTGAGAACAGAATAAATGATACTACAGTGATACAGACACTAACTAAAGGGGGGGGGTGATTCAATTCTGAACTTGAATCAACAAGAAATGAGTTCTTCAGTACAAACAACATTCATTATCAATTAAGATCTACAGCTGACTGTTTCTACAAACATAAGACCAAATGACAATAATTTGTATTTGGGAGGGGAAGTTTTGAAGATGGACAAAACTAAGAACTGCAGGAGAATGGTGAAAGGAGACCTCTCAAAGCATTCCAATTTGAAAACTCCTTAGTTTCAGGGTAACTGACCCCATGTAGAACACGGCTTTAGTCATAGAAAAGTGACAGTGAACAATGGTGTCTAAACCTAAAACTTAGGAGATAGAACAATAAGGCTGAAATAAATATTTTAACAGATCATTAATCAAATTACTATGGCAAATGCTGCTTTGCAGCTATATTCATACTTTCAAAAATCTTGAGTGACAGAGGAAGAATAATACAAGACTACATAATCTGAATAAAAGTGTCTAATTTAAACACATTTTTATGCTACAGGCAAGTACTATGAATCTCTAGTCTAATCTAATCAGTGCAGGCTGCTGAACATTCACGAAGACAGCTGGATCATGTCCAACTGCTTATGAATTAGATACAACACAACCGTAAAATCCTTGCCTGATTGTACACAGGAGAATTTATTAGTGAGAATAAAAGAAACAGCACAAAACAGGCACCATTTAAGCACAGAGTAACTACTACAAGATCATTTTCAAAGGACACAACTGACACAACAGATTTTTTACCATATGATGGAGATTCTCGGCCATCCTCTCTGTCAGTTTCCTTTTCTTTTTTTCTTTTGTGATGCCTGTGCCCACGATGTCTGTGCCGTCGACGGCCCTGCTTTCCAAATGGGACGTGAACTCCAATATACACAGCTCTGTGGCCTTTTCAAGAAAGTTTAAAAAGAAACAATTAAACAAAAAAATGACCTCCTGCCAAAATTCAGCGTCTTAGTCAAAAAGACAAGGAGTTTGCCAAAAAGAAACCCAAAAGCACTTGGCAAAACCACTTTTAGTGAACCAATATTATAATTTCCTTACTGTCCTTCCCTGGTGCCAAGGAACTAGTGCTATACTCACTCTCCGATAAACTGAATAAAAACATGGCCCAATTTAAGAACTCAGTTGTGAAACCAGTAATGTAGAAACATGAGCTTGACCTGTAACACTGAAAGAAACTACTTGATAAACACCAGCACAATGCAGAGAAATCACGTAATACCCCTCCTGTTTGAAGGGATTCATACCAGGATAGTCCTTACAATGGCAAGATGTAATCTCCTTGTTCAGTTTATGAACTTCATTAAGAAATTACCCATTATTTAGAGTCTGCAAGTTCTCTCTGCTTGAATGAGCTGCCAGTATTTCTTCAAGTAGCATAAGACACACCTAGGTGAACCTGATGTTCAACTATACCATTTAGTATCAGTTTAGGAGCATAAAAGGAACTTGTACTTGGAAACACATGCCAAAACATCAAACAACTTACAAAGAAGGTCAGGTGTGTGTAGGGGGGGTTCTATTCTAGAACTTTTTAATAAATTTAGGGAGCACATCTCAAATTAATACATACTACTACTTAAAATGTGTACTTTGAACATCTTGGTTTTTCTTTGACCTTTCACATTAAGGCAATGCTAGCATCAATGACTTGGTAATAGAAATCAATCAGCAGACTGTTATGAATATATTACTACCATGTTTCCTGTAATGGAGTCAGCGTATACAATAACCTTTTCAACTCCTTTTTAAACAATCTCAGGAAGACACATATTAACTATAAGCCTGGAGTTAACAGTAAATACTTTGTGTTTCATACTGCAGAAGAGTTATTACAGAAAACTGACATTAAAAAAAGAGGAAAAGGAAGTGGGTTTCCAGCTCTTAGACAGATGTAAATTCAGCAGATTTATACAAAACAAGCAAGCCTCAGGACTTGTGACTGTACACCACATACATGCATGTAGATACACTAGATTAAGCATACTGAAAAATTCTGCTGATTACAGAGCCTTAAAGAAATAAGAAGTGGTAGTACGTCAAACTTGTTTTCCAAGAAAACAATCTTTAAACCCCAAAAGATATATGAAACTTTCATAAAGCAAAAATCAGTAATAATCATAGAATCACCAAATAGTTTGGGTCAGAAGAGACCTTCAAAAGTCATCTAGTCCAACTGCCCTGCAATGAGAAGGGACATCAACTCAATCACATCCAGCCGGGCCTTGAATGTCTCCAGGGATGGTGCATCCACCACCTCTCTGGGTACCTGTTCCAGTATTTTACCATCCTCATTGTAAAGAATTTCTTCCTCTTTTAGTTTAAAACCATCACCCCTCGTGTCACAACAGGCCGGGCTAAAAAGTCTCTCCTCACCTTCAAGTGAGGCCCCTTTCAAGTACTAAATGGTCACAATAAGGTCTCCCCAGAACCTTCTCCAGGCTGAACAACCCCAACTCTCTTAGCCTTAATAGGAGAGGTGTTCCATCTCTCTGATGTATTTTGTAACCCTCCTCTGGACCATCATAATGCATGAGTAAGTTCAACTCTGTAATCTCATTAATTTGGTCAAGATTCCTTTTCAAATTACAAACAGCTGATTCTTGACAGAATTCCAACTAGTTTTTAATTAGAGTTGACTGATTGGTACTATGACCAAATTTAAAATTGGGTATATTAAAAGCTATTTGTTTCCATTTAAGAGTGGAAAATAGATTAATTTGCTGAAGCATTCATCAGTCCTATTTATAAACAAAGACTTTTCTTTTGTGAGATTCTTCTGACAAGAACGCTCAGGCCCTGCCAAGGCAGCCTGACATCCACCCTCCACAACTACTATGCACAATGCAATTCCCAGAAAAGCAGTGCAAATGTGACACCTAAACATAAATCAGTGCACTTGATACATAAGATGACTAGGTGGCACCATTAACAATGGTCACGTTACTGATGCCATCATGATAAAATAATCTTGTATATAGGGAAAGCAAAAGCACCAGCTTCAAAAGTCACTGCATTACTTACCACATCCCACTCAAAGCTGTTGGGTGCAACCAAGTGACCCACCACTCATTGCAAATGCTGTTACCATCCCTGTTAGAATTTTTGATTTGTTTTATGTACTGAATTATCAAGTATTAAACTTGTATATACACTTATATATAAACAGTTTTAGTTGTCAAAGTGTGGTTTTTTGCAGGAACTCTTTTTTCCTAGGAGAAACTCAAATGTTTTTCCAGTAATAAGGAATTTTATATTATTAAAAATATTTTAAGTAGTCTGATGAGACTTATTTTAAGCATATGTTTTGATCATTACACAGAAAACTTGCAGGTGATTACTTCCTAGAAAATTTCAGGAATTTCTGAAATTGTTCAAGATTTTACTTCCTGAAAAATTAGAAGGACTTCCGTATTTTCATCTCTTGCTGTTTCCACAAATTAAGACAAAAATCCCACATTGCTTTCTGTGCTGAACAACAAACAAAAATCCCATACAATCCCATACAAAAAGGGCCTCCATCTTAAACAATTCACACTCTATTGCAAAAATTAGTCCTTGTAATTGTGTGATCATCTTCATAGTCAAAGACCACGTTGCTGCATGGAGGAGAGGTGGAACAAGTAAACAAGAAGTCCCTTGTTTATCTCCCTCGACAAAATGGCAGTCTGACTGAATAGTTTAAGTAGAAAAGTTTGGAAGGGAGCAGATATGTTGCAAATGGACAGGAAAAAAGCTAGGGAAAACAGAGCTGAAATAAGCAACAAAACAAATACATTTTTAGACAACCTGTGACCATAGCAAATTGCTTTCCTACCCAAAATGCACTGACCTCTCAGCTATTACTATGTCCAGATACCTCCCAGCTGCTTCAAGGCACACTTAACTTAGCAGGTACTGCCAACTTAGTCCTCAACCTGGGCAGCCAGCCCACAACCTACAACATTTGTTATTACTTTCTACTCTAGAAGGAAACTTTAAGTGCCTTCTCACTACCCCACCACAAAGACAGGGGTATGGGCTATCCTACAATTCAGCCCGTGCTGCCCAGAAGCGAACGTGTGAATGGGTATTTCCTCAGATAGACACTGTCTTGAAGCAAATGTGAACCAAGAATACCTTCCCCAAACCACTTCTGTACATGCAAAGTGACCAGACTGCTATACCTGCCACTGTATTTTGGGTCTATTGTAAAGTGCTGACAAACAAGATGATTTTCAGTGGTTATTAAGTAAAATGCATCACAATCCAATGTAATAATATCAGAATAACTTCAAGAAAACAACTTGATGATGAAAAAGAGCCTCTGAATTGCTGTTTTTGGGTTTTTTTCTTTCTTGGAGCAAGCATGAGGGGTGTCAGTACACTAGACTAACCAAGAAAAGTTTGGCTATTGCAAACAGCTTATGAGGGTATCAGCTTTATGAAAACAACCTCCTTTTTGGTACCATGGACATGCATAAACAAAGACATCTCCACTACCACCTATGAAATCCAAACCTACTGCTGTTCAGTATACTACCACCATTACCCACAAACATGATGCAGATAAATTCAACTCCAAAAGGCAGGGCAAAACTGCATAATAAAAGTTGGACAAGCTTAACCTTAATTCTAATTCCACAAAGCAAAGCACTGAGAAGCCCTCTAAAAATAAAAACAGCTGTATTGAGTAGGCCTGTGTTCCCTTCAGTTTCATTTTTCAGAGAGGACATTTATTAATGTTTGCAGATGCACAGATAATGTTTACTTACAAACAGAATTTTAAAGGAAAATCAAAACAAAAACACAGGGACTTTCCCCATCCATTTCACACCCCCTTTCCCCATTCCCAATGAATTTGCTGAGTAAACTTACACCTTACAGCCTTTCTCCCTGGCCATAAAAAGCCAGAAAGGCAAGCAATACAATAGCAATGGAGACAAAATTAACTCTAAAAAGGCTGGAATTCATATTACTAGCAACAGTGTTCTGAAAAGAACATAACCTTTTACTTGAATATTGTTTCTAAAAGCTTGAAATTATATGACCTTCAAAGCTTTATTCACACAAACATCTGTACCACAATACCACTCTCAAGCAAAGCTTGTCACAGAATTACTTTAAACCAATAACCAACAGCATTTGTAAACAGCCTGATACTAAATTTAGTAATACAGACCTCAAGAGATAGTTGTTCATTTTAATCTAACACGACTTTATCTGAGCTTAGCTGTTCAAATCCACCAGGAGTATTTACTACTTAAGGTCCTTATCAGTATGAAACAAATTTTAATGCTAGGAGCATGCTCCATCACATGGTTGGTCTTACTCTAAAAGTCAATTTATATCAAGACCTATAAAACAGACAGAATAGAAAATGCCCCAAAGCCCCTAAGAAAGCGGTAATAGAAGACATATAAAGTCCGAGAGAGGTCAAAACCACGTATCTGAAAATTGCTCTCCTGTGACAACCCTTTAAATACAATTCCACAAAGAACTTTTTTTCCAACCATCATTTTATTAGCTGGGCACCTTTTAAGCTTCATAAAAGAAGGACATTCTTCCCATGTTAATGAGTGAGAGAGCAAAGAGAATCAATATATATGTGAATTCTCAAATCTCATTACTTACAAATTTGAAATGCAGACAGCATATATTAATTACAGTTATATGTGATATCTGGAAGTGGGCTATCTGGTCTGATCTTGCTCAAAGTACAGCCAACTTCAAAGCTAAAGCCATCTTTTTGATCCGGTTGGTCAGGATGACAAACAGCCAAGCTTTGAGTATCTATAAGGATAGATACTCTACAGCCTCTCTGGGCAACCTATTCCAACATATAACAACACACTACCTGAAACAAGTATCTTAATATCCAATCAGCACTTCCAGTAAATACTGTA